TCACTAATTGTTGCATGCAACAGTTGATTTTACGCTGCACCAATACAGCTATGATAACAAGAGTGGACAGTCTCGAAGCTATGGCATGAGGGAGCAGCTCTAGCTCGAAGCTAGGGCACGAAGCTATGACACTTTGTAGCTCAAATCATGCTGCAATAATACAGCTATTACAGCTGCATGCATGAGGTCTCCTGAGCAGATGTAAGAGGAATCACACGAGGAGCAGGAGGAATAGGTTATCCTGAGCAGCTGCAAGTGGAATCACACGCGAGGAGAGGATTGTATGGCTACCTATCCCATGCCACGTGCATGGCCCATGTAAAGGACCAAAGCAGAGCAACAGGCGGTCAGAACGTTGGACGTCGGGCGTGCATGGCGACCTATAAGGTCGCTGGGCGTGCATGGCGACCTACCATGTCGCCTGGCGTGCATGGCGACCTACCATGTCGTTGGGATGCCCTGGCGACCTACGGCAACACTGTGGAAATCACCCCATTTGAGCAATTAATCTGGGGACTACCTTATTTCGTGAAATAAAGAATTTGAGAGCATTATCTCGTTGAATTTGCCCGTAGGTATAGGTTGGTTCAGATTTAAAGCATTCAAGGGATAAGATTATGTTTTCTATGAAATTAGAGCTGCACCAAAAGCCTTCGTATTGACTGTAGAGTTTATATTACAAATCGAATAAAATGAGTGAAGTGTTGCAAATGATGATGATGGCACAACCACGATTGTAGATCTGATTTTTGAATTGATAACGGTTTGTTTCTTATATCGTAGATCCGATGATGACTCTCTCTCATGAAATTTTCAGATGTAAAGAATATGTTTCTTTTAAAAAAGTATATCAACAAGATTAACGGCAGAAATCTATTAATAATAGATTAATAAATCGATCCACGTGTAAGATAATAACTGGTAGGACACTAAAGAAGGCACCAAAAAATAGCTAAGGAATTTTGCTGTATGCCACACACTTGGAAGATGAATTTACGATGACTGACATTCGTTAAAATACATCTATATTTATATATATTGAAATATATTATTAATATAAAATAGGATAAAATTTATAAATAGTAGCAAAATTTTTTTAAATTAATTTTATTTAATATTGAATTTTTTAAAGTTACAAAATAGACATTAAACTTTAAACTTTATTAAAAAATAAATAACAATCGTTAAATGTTATTAAGAGGTGACATAACATACTAAATTAAAAAAAACATCTTATTTAGCCCCTCAATTATAACTAAAATTTTATTTTAATATTTTCAACATTTTTAAGTAATAATTCTAAAAAAAATATATTTATTAAAAAAATATGAAAATAAAATTATTTTTAAAATTAAAAATATTTTCAAAAAATTTAATTATCAAACAATGAAATTAATTTTTTTTATTGAGAAACAATAATTTTATAACTAATTATTTATTTAATTATTGTTGTATTTGTAAATAAAAAATTATAATTACAACGTCCGAAAATTTATATTATCAAATAATATTTTTTTTATTAATGATGTGATTTAATCATTTAACTTTTATTTAAAAAATTTAAATGTAATTTAAAAAAATCATATATCCATAATATTATAATATCATATTAAATAATTTTTAATTTATATGGTACAAATTTAATATTTATAATAAAATTATTTATTTTATCTATTTTATTTTCAATTCAATGAACCAATAAAATTATTTCAATTAAAATTAAGAGTAAAATTAATATTTTTTTTAAAAGGGGTGGTCTCTGAGTGTCGCAACGTATCGATTAGACCAAGTGGTGGCGATGGGGTTTCATAAATAGTGAGGTTCGGAGAGCTATTAAGGCGGGAAAGAAAATCGGCAATCATGTTGGACTCTCGGGGAATCGAATGTTCCAATCATCCCCGCAAAAGAGAGATATAGTGCGCACCAGAGTGGAAGGACTAATCTTCGATGGAGGATTCAGGAGATCGATTGCTTCATTGCTGTCAGATTAAACGAGAATATGTTTGAAATTGTCGTGTTTTGCAATTTCCCCAGAGCTCAGCTTGAAGAACCGTGGTGATACTGATACCTTTTGTGAACGAGAGAAGATGCGAGCCCAAGTGATTGCGTAACACCCCACTGATCGAGCCCGAGTAATTAAATTTTAATTATAATTGAAGGGTCAATTGAGATATTTTTTAATAATTTATGCTTATTTTGTAATAAAATTAAAAGTTAAATATTTAAAAAGATAATGTTGAGATAATTTAATGATTGTTTATAAATTTTATATTATAAAATTAATGGGGAATTAGGATAAAAGTCATGCTCTAGAATATTCCCACAGCAGAAGTCTCCTATCACCCGAAATTCAAGCCCACCAAAAGTTTCATCTATAACTAATCACACGACCTTTTCTTTTGCTTTTAGACTGGAATCTATTTGGGGGTTGGAGGGGGGGGGGGGAGGGGCTACAAACTATTGTGTTTATTCACAGAGTTTCGCCCATTCGATCCAGAGACGTGGATAATGAATAAAATTTAGAGACAGAAGAACAGAGCTTTCGGTGGATGCAAGTGGATGACATGCTATATTGACATGTTTTATAACTAAATATTGTAATTTATATATAAATTATTTATTATTCTACTTGCAATAATTTATATATAAATTCAACATTTTGCGTTTTTATTCTTTCAAGTGAAAGGTAGGCTGCTGAATGTACAACTGCTGGAATGTAAAAATATCTCCGGATTAACTTTTAATATAAAAGAAAAAAACTAGGGATTTCAGTAAACAGGGGAAACAAATAAAAAAAATGTTTAAAACCGAAACCCAAGGCATAACAACAGTGCCATCTCTGGGATGCTGTAAATCTAAATGGTTACAAATAACATATGCAACAGGCCTACAATTCAAACCCTAGCACTTATTTTTTTTTTTTTTATGAAAGGAAGGTATTTATTGATAAATACTTGGATTGTTTTAATTAGTAGAAAGCAGCAAATCATGATTTTTGTTTTCCATGATGAAACAGGGAAACGCAATCTTATAGGGCTTGCCCTAATATTAAAATAATAACCTTTCTCTTCTTCCATATTAAACAAATTCAGTTTTATCACACTGAATAAAAGTATTCGTAAAGCGAACGTTTTTAATTATTAAATAGCAAAAAATTATCCCTACTAAACTGTTCACTGTGTATATCCTTTATTTTATAACCATGGGGCCGAAATATTGTGTGTACAAATCGACTGCTTCTTGAAAAGTTCCAAGGAGAAGAAAGAAAGCCCATTGTATGTTTTTAAAAAGTCAAAATATGCCCCCTGGTTTAGCCTATCGTTCTTAAATATTAACATATATTTCTGATAGATGAGAAGGGGTGCAAGTTTCCACATGGACTCTACAATGGAGAAAAGCAGAATTCAAATGTTATATGATGCCTGTCATTATGTATTTTCCCAGAAAGAGCTTCCAACTTTCCAACAGATTCATTGGCTTAAAAACATCTTAAGTACTGCATCACTCCCTTAATTTTCTAATAATTGTACATGTTTTAGGTTTGTTTTCTAGAAGGAAAAAAAAACTAGTTAAAGGCTGCATTTCGTTTTCCAAAAAAACGCAGATTTATTCGAAGCTGTTAATGTTGGCATAGATGAATTTAGCTCCGATGAATCTCCAAGTTCAAGCCAGGCCATGAACATCAATGGGTTGATTTCTGGGCTAGGAGTTTCTGAAGTAACTTACATTCACATCCATGAATGTGACAAGGTTTCGGTAAGTTTGTTTGTTCATTTCATATTCATGTATTTCACGTGTGATAAAATCAAGTTTGTTGTTTGTGCAGATGGGGATTTTTTGCTTGCCGGCCGGCAGCGTATTCCCACTCCACGATCACCCTGTATGACAGTTCTGAGCAAGCTTCTTTACGGTTCGGTTTATGTCAAAGCCTACGATTGGGTTCGTGCTGAGAATTGTAGCCCCAGAGCAAGTAAGGGTTTTAATCAGCACACATGTTTACGTCGTCAATCATGTTTGGTTTGAAGTTAACAAAGAAAAATGATATCAAAACCATTATGCATGTTAGCTTAAACATATGTGGCAATGGCGAGTGTTGCAGATGGAGTTGCGGCCACCGCAATAGACTGCATCTTCAATGCTCCTTGTGAACCAACAGTGTTGTTCCCAAGGAGTGGTGGAAACATCCACTCATTCACCGCCTTGACCCCATGTGCTATCTTGGATGTGTTATCTCCGCCATACTCCGACGACTTCGGCAGGCCTTCCACGTACTACTCAGACTTCCCCATCCCTTCACTTCCTGGTAAATCATAAAAAATTCAAGCTTTACTACATTTGCAATCATCAAATAATCCAAATTTTTATGCTTCGATATTTCAATTTAATGCCCAGGTTATGCTTGGCTGGAGGAAAGAGAACTAAAACTGCAACATGACTTAGTTGTTAAGGGGGCGCCTTACCTTGGTCCTCCACTTGATGTTGTAGATGATCTTTGCTAATGGAACTACTAATTCCTTGTCAAAAGAATCAATGTTTTTTTATTATTGCTGCAGATGAAGTATATAAATATATATAGACAAAATATGGTTGGAAAACCCACGTTTTCAAGTGCCTAAAATGACTGTTGGAATATTGCGAATGGGATCAGCCCATAATATTCTCGAACCGTGGCATTTAACTTGTAAAAAAGAATCACTCAATACTTGATTAAACCTGATAAAATCATAATTATTGGTCTTTTTCTTCTTTGATGGGGGTAGGAATTTTTTTGTTTCCTCCCGCACCTTCAAACACAACAGTTTGCGAGAACTTTCACCTTAACAATTAAATCGAATCTCCACCATTCATTGCTTTATATGTCAACTATAGCTGCAGTCAAACACATCAGGCTTCCAGGGTCTAACCTTGTACAGCTTTTTATGAGGATGACATGGTAGTTGTTACTTTTAAGCCACAACTTGGAGTTACAAAGCCTGTTCAAACGAAGCTTCAAAGTTTTGGATGCAGTTCTTGTGTTGTTTCCAGAGAGAGAGAGAGAGAGAGAGAGAGGGAGAGAAGATTGAAGTGGGAGCTCCTCATTGATAGAGATTAAAACTATGGAACGTTATGAAGTTGTGAAAGATATAGGGTCAGGGAACTTTGGAGTGGCTAAACTAGTCAGAGATAAATGGACAAAAGAGCTCTTTGCTGTGAAGTTCATTGAGAGAGGACGAAGGTTATCTTCATATCCTTTTACCTCTCGAATCTTTCTGATTTCTTTTTCTTCTTCTTTTTCATGTTTTTTAATTGGATTCTTTGTCATGTCAATCATTCATGGATGTGTTGATTAAAGGGTTTATGTTCCCCCCCTGTTTTTGTCGCAGATAGATGAACATGTGCAAAGGGAAATCATGAACCATAGATCATTGAAGCATCCCAATATTGTTAGATTCAAAGAGGCTGGTTCTATATTCTTTGTTCATTTATTGTTAGTGTTCTTTGTCTTGTATCCTATCTAGCTGAGCTTTAGTCAACGTTCTGATGTTTTTATTTACCACCCTTCTCTTCCCATCAATGGAGAACCAATGAAAAAAAATACATAGAATGAAGAGAGACAACAATGTCTATGTGCTTTACAGTTATGTCATTAATTGTCCAGCAAATTACAGTCCCTTGAAGCAGGAAACTGAGAGGATGAAAATGCAAATGATTTTTACTTTCACGTTCCTTTTAAATGAACAACCATGCAAATTGTTGGCTATTGGTCCTTGCAGGTTCTTCTTACACCTACTCATCTAGCCATAGTCATGGAGTATGCTGTAGGGGGCGAACTCTTTGAGCGGATTTGCAATGCTGGTAGATTTGGTGAGGACGAGGTATAATAAAAATGGACAACATTTCTGATGTTAAATACATATGTTGCTCCAAAATTTCATGCTTCTTGAAATATATGGGTCCATATTCATTACTTGTTGTATGGGAAGCTCTAATCTGAATTCGAACAACATAATTTCTCATGTATAAATCTTCTACTTGAATAACTTCCCTTATCTTTTCCATGTTGAGTTCCAACAGGCAAGATTTTTCTTTCAGCAATTGATATCAGGCGTCAGTTACTGTCATTCGATGGTATTAAATTCTGGCCTTTTTAGCTCCTTTGCTCTTTCTTTTTTCTCAAGTAACCTTGTGCTGCTATTGTTAAAGATTATAATTTTGGATTGCAGCAAATATGTCACAGAGATCTTAAGCTTGAAAACACTCTCCTTGATGGCAGCACCGCACCGCGTGTCAAAATCTGTGATTTTGGATACTCAAAGGTATTCAACATTAACCAATTATCAAGTTTGCAGTAACAACATTGAATTTACTAGCTGCTAACTATTTTCCTGCAATTTTTGCAGTCATCTGTGTTTCATTCTCAACCAAAATCTACTGTAGGAACACCAGCATACATTGCACCTGAGGTTCTATCAAAGAAAGAATATGATGGGAAGGTAAAATTTTGCACCGATTTTTCATTCTTCTCCAAGTACCACTGTCCAACAACCATATCTGATACATATTCAGACAGGATCTACATCTAATGTTCCGTAGCTATAGACTGCAGATGTTTGGTCATGTGGAGTGACCTTATATGTCATGCTAGTTGGATCATATCCTTTTGAAGATCCTGCAGATCCAAAAAACTTTAGAAAGACAATTGGAGTGAGTTTTACTACAAAACTTTAACCTTGATTTTCTCTTCAAAACTATACATAATTTGAACTTGCTTAACTGCAATTTATTTGAGGTTTCCCTTACTGACTTTTGGGGATGGCAGAGAATACTGAGTGTCCACTACTCGATTCCAGATTATGTTCGAGTTTCTATGGACTGCAAACATCTTTTGTCTCGGATATTTGTGGCAAATCCTGAAAAGGTATGGTTTGATACAACCGCTGTCAAGCATCCAATCTTTTCTTGAATTGTTTACATTCTTTCTTGTCACTTTGCTGGTGCAGAGAATAAGTATAGCAGAGATCAAAAGCCACCCTTGGTTCTTAAAGAACTTGCCAATGCAGCTAAAGGAAGGGGGAAGCTGGGGGAGCTACGACACGAACAACCCTTCCCAGAGCTTGGAAGAAGTGGAGTGTATAATACAGGAGGCCATGAAAACCACTGAGGTCCCCAAGGCTGGGGGACTTTTCCAGGCGGGAAGCATGGAGCTTGATGATGATGATTTAGATGCAGATTTTGAAGACGTAGAGACAAGTGCTGATTTTGTGTGCCCAGTGTGAACCAAAATACTTACATATAATATACGCACCAATATACCCCTTTTCCATTTACTTCATTCCTCATACGCAATTACGCATGCTTTACCTACTTTGAAAAGGAAAAACACTATCATTTTAATATCTTTGTTAATAATGAGAAGGAACTGAGCTGACTTGGGTGCTGCCTTCGCTCACAATGAAGGTTTCATCTTTCAACAATGGTTGTATCTTTTTAAGCATTCAAATGTTCCAAACTTTTAACTTTGGAAATAAGCAATCCATCGATATGAAATCCACATTTTACTTTTGCCAACTCAATTACTATTTTTTAAAAACAAGGATTAAATATACAAAAGATGCCCAATTTATACTCGTTTTTTCAGTTTAACGTTTATTTTATTCCAGTTTGGTGCCTAACGTTTTATTCCGTAACTCAAAATGGGTTCAGCCGTGACGAGCCGTTAAGTTTGATCGTTAACCCATTCAAAATGCCATGTATTTTTTAGGGTAAAATATATAAATAGTCCCAAACTTTTAGGACATTTTCATTTTGGTCACCTCCTCTTCCTCCTTCTTCATTATTATTTTAATTAGTTTAATGATATTTTCTAATAGTATTTTTCATTGTTTCCCAATCACAAATGTTTTGGTCTCGTTTCATAGGCTAGTTTTACTGGGATTGGGGTCGGTGATGCTTATTATAGTCTGAAGCATGTAGTGGAGTTTATGGCATTTAACTTCTCCATGCAGGTTAAAGGGTTATGTTTTGTATCTCTACATACACTGCTAGTAGTTTTTTGACTTACAACATGAATAAATTTTGAAATGGCTTCTAAATAAATTGATGTGCATGTCATTAAAAAGAAGAGTTTGTGTACCATCATTTTTCATTTTTTTAAAGTGCAATAGAGTTAAAATTGCTACTGTAATGGTCGAGTCTGTTGTGGAGAAGAAGGCCAGTAAAAAGGAAATCAAGTGCTACTTTTATGATGGTCCCTATGTGATAAGGGGATATCCCGAGAAGAATCGCCTTGCAGCCATCATAAAGAGGATGAGAGAAAGGGAAGTAACAGGAATTGGCACGGTTGTAAGTGTTAAAGCTGCCAAGCTAGAGAAAAGACTTGGTCTGATTGAGGGGGTCAATGCGGCCAAGCAAGGAACAAGACAAGGTGTGACTGCGATGTTGAGGTAGTCGAACCCAGAGAGAAGTCCGATGTGATTGCGAGTGTCCAAGAAATCAAGTTATCAGAAGGACTTGGTAAAGGTACATGTTCTAAAGTAGCTGAATCAATGAGGAAGCATGGTGCGACTACAAGTTCTCAAGTAGTCAACCCAAGATCAAGAGATGTGGCAAGACTGTAATTGTCAAAGCAGTCGAGCACGGAGGAAAACCCGGTGCGATAGAAAATGATAAAGTCATCAAGTCATGGGTAAGGAAGGAGCAACTGAAGTGCTACCGATGTAAAGGGCCACTAAGTAGAGAGGTTGCCAGATCAAGCCAAGCCATCCAAGGAGAAGGATGAGGCCGAGAGTAGCGAGCCTATAAGACTTGAAATGATGGTGTTTTCCAAGGTGAATATATGCCAAATGTAAATAAGGTTGGCGGTGTCTCGGAAGGCTACTAGAGATATTGTCGAGCATGTTCATGGGGAGAACATGACTTCAAAGACCGTCATTGGAGAAGGGTCAAAGGAGAAGCTTTTCGAGGGTGTTCAAGTAGAGAAAACATACCTTCAAAGGCTATGACTAAGGGAGGGTCGAAGGAGAAGCTTTCCGAGGATGTTCGCGAGAAGAATATTCATTCTGAGACGATGAGCCAAGGGTTGAAGGGGGTAAAGCCGTCGAGGGACAAATCAACCGTGAAGAGACCACCCATATGAAAGTGAGAGTTCAGAGAAGGACTTCAAGTGGGAAGTTCCAACGCAAGGACAGGCGACGAACTTCGAATAAGAAGGGTCGAAGTAAGAGGGGTCATGAAACTTTGCAAAAGGAAAACCAATGGCAGAAGGGAACACCGAACTTCAAGTTAGAGGGACGGATGCATCGAGTGCCATTGAACTTCAAGGGAGAAGGGTCGAGGAACAATGGATTAAAGAACTTCAATTAAGGGAGTTCGATGCATGGGGTGATAGACTTCATGGAGAAAGAAGGGTTGTCAAATGCCAACATAGAGGGGAATGTACATCTTTAGCACAATCCTTGCGTTTTTAAACTGATTTGTCATGTTCAGTGATGTAGGTCGGTTAAGACCTAACCTTCATTGTAGAGGAAATAAAGCTTGGGAGAGACCTTTAAGAGTTCTAAAACCAGAGTTGTTGATGAGTTTGTGTAATACCCCAAACATCAGTCAGTAACTAAAATATAATGATTTAAAATTTGGTGGTTTAATTTGAATAAAATTAAAAAGTTTAAGGACTGATTTTGGGAATTTTTTTCTAGGACTTGTTATCAAAGATATAAGAATGGAAGGGAATTATGGTTTTTTAGCATGGAAAGAATTTAATATTCATTTCTTTAAAGATATTTAACATGTGTGAAATAAGGGAAATAAGGAAAAGTCTGTAACTTGGTTCACTTCTCTTCTTTTTCTTATTCTCCCACCGTAAACTCCATTGTTAAAGGTAAGTTACTTTCAAGTTGGTTGTTTCTTTAGTTTTTGGGTTGGTTTTGAAGTCTTTAATGATATAGAAGCTTAAGGAAAGCTTAAGGATAAATAGAACTAAGAGTTTAGTGAATTAATGATGAATTGGGAAAATGGATTTTTAAGAAATTTTATGAGATTGATTAGTATTTGAATTTCTAATGATATATTTGACTTGTCGAGAGCCTAATTAAGGTGTTTGAAGTGTTAGAAAGGATTAAGAACATGTTTGATTGATGGGTATATTTTAGCTTAAGGTATTCTATGGAGAATTTGGGATGTTACAAGAAGATTAATGGATATAAATTATGTGGGATAAATGTTAGTGAGTTTAAGGGCTTGAATAGAGTTAAGGGTAAGAGATTTAAGTGAGTTTTGACTAAAATTCGAAATGGAATAAGTGAAATTTAGGTAAGGGTATCGGTACTAGAAGAATAATACCGATACTATAAGGGTAAATTGAAGGAAAAATGTATGAATCGGATGAACAATATCAATACTGATTAAAGTAGTATCGATACTAATGTGTAGGTATCGACACCAAGGGTAAGGTATCGATACTGTAATTCAAATGAAATTCTAGAATGCCAAAATGGTATCGATACTGAAGTGGGTATCGGTACCATAGAAGAGAAGTATCGATACTGTAGGAGGGGTATTGATACTATTTAGTCTGAATTTTAAATTAGGAGTTTTCGTTTCGTTTATGTAAGTGATAATCGGTTACCCGTTAACGAAAAATTCGGTATTGATATTGAACATGCCTTTTTGTAGATTTGGATCAAAACCGTATCAAAGGAATCGACATAATACAAGATTGAACGAAAGGAAAATGATTCCGTTTAGGACTTACGTGAGGCAAATGTGAGTGCAAGTTATTTATTTTATAATAGATATGAGGACGACTTGCGATAAGCCAACCTCAAAGTTTTCGATTAAAAATAGTTTATTTATTTTATGCAATATTTTAATGTTTTACATAAATTTTATTTATGAATGTATCGTTGTGATTTTTTACTAGTATGTGAATATGAAATATGTGAATATGTTTTGTATGAAAGTTATATTGTTTTCCTTGAACAATGTTTCTTGAAAGTGTTAAGTAAAAACTTTAATGCTTTATACTCATTATTGCCTCACTAAGTCAACAAGTTAGCATGTGATTGTTTCACACATTTAAAGCTAGGAAAGGACAATATACGCCAAAAGAAGATCAAATAAGAACAATTTAAATTGTAGGTCTCTTATCATTTTGTAATTTTGTTGGCATGTATCATAAAATTTTAAATTGAAATGCTCTGATTAGTTTTGTAACTATACTATTTTAAATTTATGAAATTATTTTTAGTACTTATTTTACTTGTGAATTCTAAAATTATATATTAACTGTTGTATGAGGATTTCACCACAAAATATAAAGTAAAAGTTTAAATTGTTAACCAGTTTTATAAGAATTAAGTTTTGAAAAGTCAATGTGATACCTCATATTCGTATCTGGGTCAGGTAAGGGTTGGGGGTGTTACAGTTTGTGAGTTCGCCCGTTGTTCAATGTTGTGGGAACGTTCAAGACTTTTCCACGGGTACAAGGAATTCCAAGGAGAGGTGAATGAAGTTTGGTAGGGGATGCTCGTACGGTGAAGATGTACCTGAGGGCGTTTTAGCACACAACATAAAGTGGAGGCAAGAACCGAAGTGAGCAACCAATATGGGAGGCCAAGTCCTTATGTGGGTACATGAATGAGTTGAGGTGTCAAGCAACCAAGTTGATACGAGGAAAGACGTAAAGGATCATGGAGTTACATGAAGACATGAGCCGAGGCAAGCAGTTCAAATGAAGGAACCACAAGGAGCCAATGCATTGGAAAATACCCAAGGTGAAAGAGCCTAAAATCGATTGAGTTTAGTGATGGGGGCGTCGCCAAGTTTAGTGGAGGAGAATGTCACGGTCCGCACAGTAAGTTCTGAGACATTGGTGCATGAGTCTACCAAAGAGGTTGGATTTGGGGAATTGGGTCATCACTTGGAAAATGATAGAGAGCCCGTTCACATTGGCCGTGAAAACATGGAAAGTGAAGATGATCATGGGAGATCGATAATTATGGAAAGAGACAACAAATCAATAGAGATTGAGGAGGATTCTTACCATATCTAGTGTGAACGCTTATCGAATAAAAGATTCCTACTAATTGATGTAATTAGGTAGGATGGGATTGAGTTTCCTTATATAGAATATTTTGTATTAAATAGGGATGATCTTAGTCATTGATGTAAATCGATCCTAGCCATTGATTGTGAGGGACCTTAACTATAAATAAAGAGCATCTCCTTCTCATTTTTATCATTCAGAATCATTCTTCCATACTCACTTTGAGAGAAGAGTAAATAAAAGCTCTGAGGCATTTGCTCTAAGTTCTATTTTCTCCTTTCAGTTGTTCTGAGTTGT